TTGGTTTCATAGAAGAGGGACTTGAAAGAAATCTGAAATCACTGAGCTGAACCAGATTTACAGGATTTAAAATCAGGGACAGCACCTAGTGCTGTCTGCATGTAAGATGAAATGTACATTGTTTTTAGAAATGATCATTGCACACTAAACTAGGACCAAATATTGACCCCTGAGGAACACCATAAGCAATCCTTGTGCTCACCATAGTTCACGCGCCGATGGTGATTTCATCACACAGCCCAGTCCATTTATTCTCACCACAGTAAAACACGTGAGGCTACAAAATTGAGGAGTGCACAACCGATCGATATAATACCAAAACACACTGCATGCGCTAGCACATGTGATGAAACTTTTGTCGTGCCGTGCAGTTTGTCAGGGCGAGAACGGCGAGCATAACGGCCCCATAACAGTTATTAAGGGTCAATTTGAAGCTTCCTGTCTTCAGCTCTCACTGGTTCTGTCTTGTAGCCAGTCGCTTCTGCACGAGTAGTGTAAACACAGCCTTAGATAAAAGATGCTGTTAGCATATAAACCACATTGTCAGGGTGAGGTACTTTGGGGAAACTGGGTAACCCACTGCTTTTTCTTTCTTTTCCCAAACCCTTTAATTATTGTTTTGCAGTCTAGAGAAAAGTAATTTGTGCAGGGTGCAGTTTCGTGCCCTGTGGTTCTTGATATCACACTTACAGAGCTGTGAGAAATCATTACTGTGGCAACGTGCTTTTCTTCTGTGAGCAATTAACTGGTTGAGATGTGACAGCAACATGGTGAACAGCCTGATTCTTACATCTCTGTCCTCTCCTGTTTTCAGAACCTCAGTGAAAACCTCGTACATGGTGCGAACGTCCCAGAACAGCCTGGAGGCCTATCGCTACATCGACTGCGGCTCCAACACCACGTACCAGCAGCCGGAGAATTACAAGATCCACTCCTCTGGTGACACAACGGCCCTATCCCTCCGTCACTCTCTTTTGTGAGGGGCGCAGATGTGAGACTACAAGGACTATGTTAGTGTGCACTGCAGGGTGGACTAACAGCTCGGCAGCAGGGAAATACCTAATATCGTCTCGTTTTCTACACTTGCTAAAAAGAGCCGACATTGACCTGCTGTTATCTCGTGCTAATCCAGGATTTGGCTGTATCTCGGAAAACAAGGGCTCTGACAAGGGAATGTTGTTCTAGCCATCAACAGATAAAGGGTCTTTGATGGACTTGTGAAATGTGGAATTATGGCCTGTAATGTCAAGCTCAGCACTGTTTGTGAAATGTTCTTGCCTGACTTCCCGTCTAAGTCCAGAGAGCAGTTTTGCTGTTTCAGAGCAACACGAGTCTGAGTGGAGAACTGAATGAGTCACTAGCAGCGAGCACTCTTTGTGTTGTAAGCAGGACAAAGGTCACAGAAAGCTCTTTCTCAAACGCAACATTCTCAGCCAGGATGCTATTCGCGTTAATTATGGCTGCAGAGCTCCCTCTCTGTGCTGCTGCTGCAATGTCATTAGAATTCAATCAAAATTCCTTAGTGTGGCTTGAATGACTGATACACTGTGATCACTACTGACTGTTGGTTTTTTTTGTTTGTTTGTTTTTGGCAGCTTGAAACTGGTGTGGATTGTAGATATTTTTAATGGTTCGATAAGTTATTGCCTGCCAAGCACATCTATAAGGAGAGAGGTTTAACATCACGTTTTCTTCCAGTGAAACTCCATTTAACTGCTTTTACTATTCCCTCAGTAGAAATCTACTCACAGAATCCTTAATACAGATCCAGTTAAGCTACAAAAAGAAGACGTCCCACCACCATACCACATGAGTGCAATTTAAAAATCAAAAACAATGCCTTTAGATAGTGAGAGCTGATTATTTGCAGTGAGACATTATTTCCAGCTGAACAGGCAGGCTCAGAGAACACTGTTATACAGTATTTAGAAAGTGGCTGTACCAATGCTAATAATTATAAAGGTAGTATATCCTGCTGTA